CAAAAATATTTTAAGACTTAAATGTAAGACATTAAACCATCAAAATCACAGAAACCTATAAAAATAACTCCTTGAAATTGGTCTAATAAATGATTTCATGGATGTGACACCAAAAATACAAACAACAGAAGCAAAAATAAACAAGTAGGACTACATCAAATTAAAACTACTACACAACAGAAGAAATTATCAGCACAATGAAAATGTGACCTGTGAGATGGGTTCATGTCTGAATTCTGACTCATTAACAATAGCTTTAAACTAATCATTATCTTTTAGGATCCTAGTTTTATTTGTAAAATAATAATGAAAAGTTCCTTCACCTTCCTTAATCATATAATACTGTCATATTCATTTTCTAAATTTAAAAAGTCATGCAAGGAACAAACCACTCTCATGCTCAAGTGCAAAGTAAATTAAGTATAAATTGATTTGGCTTTTGCGTTTTGGTAGGACAGTATTGAAATGTGCACACCCTTTGATCCAGCAATTCCATTTTAAGGATCCTATCCTATTGCAATACTCTCACATGGGCACAAGAATGTATGTACAAAGATAATTACTGTCACATTAAAAGATAGGAAGCAACCTAAATATCCATACAGGATAGTAATGCTCATATCATCCATATTCTAGAATTCTGTTGAGGTGTAATGCCATGAAAATTTCATGAACAATATATGGTGTATCTGAAAAAGACTAAGTTGAAGATATATATATTACTAGAGGCCCAGTGCATGAAATTCATGCACCTTTGGGAGGGTCCCTCAGCCCAGCCTGCACCTTCTCCAATCTGGAACATCCTTCTCATAATCTGGGACCACTGGCTCCTAACCACTTGCCTGCCTGCCTGATCACCCCCAACCATTCTACCTGCCTGCCTGATTGTCCCTAACTGCCTCTGCTTGCTGGCCTCGTAGCTCCCTAACTGCCCCTGCCAGCCTGGTTGCCCCCTAACTGCCTTGCTGGCCTGGCTGCACCTTAACTGCTCCCCTGCCGACCTGGCTGCCTCCTAACTGGCCCCTGCCAGCCTGGTTGCCCCCTAACTTCTCCCCTCCTGGCCTGCTTGATTACTCCTAACTGTCTCTGCTTGCTGGCTTTATCATCCCCTAACTGGTCCCCTGCTGGTTAACCACCTCTGCTTGCTGGTCTGGTCACCCCCTAACTGCTCTCCTCCAGGCCTGGTCCCATTCTAACTGCTTCCTGTCAGCCTGATTACCTCTAACTGCCTCTGCCTTGGTCCCCACCACCGTGGCTTTGTCCAGAAGGAAGCTGGACATCTGGAAGATGTCTGGTCTCCCCAGTCTAATTAGCATATTACACTTTTATTAGTATAGGCAGATTAATCCAATTTTCATTCAAATTAAAGTTTATATTTTAAATATATTTTAATGTATATGCATCCATATATATATATACATACACACACATATATACTCATGTACTTATATATTATATATGTATATATATGCATTTATATGTAAATACATACTTTTAAAAATTTCTTTCTTGATTAAGGTACTACAGATGTGTTCTTATTCCCTGATTACCCCCCCACTCATGCCCTCACCCTCCTGTTTTTGTCTGTGTCCATTGGTTAGGCTTATATGGATATATACAAGTCCTTTGGTTGATTTCTCCTCCTAACCCCCAGATACTTTTTAAAAATATGTTTTTATTGATTTCAGAGAGGAAGAGAGAGGAAAAAAGAGATAGAAGAATCAATGATGGCAGGGAACCATTGGTTGGCTGCCTCCTGTATGCCATCTACAAGGGACCAAGCCCTCAACCCAGGCATGTGCCCTTGACTGGAATCAAACCTGGGACCCTTCAGTCCATAGGCCGACACTATGCACTAAGCCAAACCGACTAGGGCATAAATACATACTTTTATAAGTGTGTATATATCTAAGTGTATGTGGTGCGTGCGTGTGTGTGTGTGTGTGTGTGTGTGTGTATGCCAAGAACTGCTTAATCAATTTAAATTTGTATTCTATAGAGTTTATTACATTAATACCTACTGGTTTAATATTCTGAAAATTAAATTGTAGCCCAGCATACAGTATTAAACTTATTTAATTTATGTCTTTCTTCTTTATTCCTATCTCTATATATTCTTTATGCAATTTATGTACACAAGGTTAATCAAAATTACATTACTAAAATGAACCCTTCTATTTAAATAGTACATTTTCTAGTTAATGAACCCTTAAGATACTGATTCATTCTTTTCCAAGCTATGCTACATAAAAATCCCTTACAAATATAATGTGTTGTCCTGGCCGGTTAGTGGTTTAGTTAGTGTCATCCTGTGCACTAAAAGGTTGCTGGTTCAATTCCAGTCAGCGCACATGCCTAGGCTTGATCCCCTGTGGGGGGCATGCTAAAGGCAGCTGATAGATGCTATTCTCTTGCATTCTCTCCCTTCCTCTCCCCTTCTTTCTCTCTATAAAAATTAATAAAAATATTTTTAAAAAATTAATGCATTTCAATTGCTTGCCCAGAGCAAATACAGAAAGTGAAAGTTGTACAGAATGTGAGCAGTAGGTGGTGCACATTTGCTCATCTTAAACCAACTTGAACCAGCTTGCTGTTTAAAGAAAATGAAGAAAAAAAAAAAAAAACACACAAAATTTCTCTAAATCATGAACAGCATAACAAATACAAATTCTTAAGAAATAACTAAAGAAACCAATAATCCAAGACTAATTCTCTGTAAATGATCCTCTGTTCTTTTGGGGTTTGGTTTCAGAGTGAAGTAAAAACAAACAACAACAAAATCAACGTTTTCAACAATATACTATGAAAACTAATAAAAGAATGCTTCTCAGAGTCCAGTTAAATGTCACCAAAGAGGAATAAGTCCTCTATGGTGCATAGCAAGACCCAGGTCAGTCTGACAAGATGATCACACATAGGTGGATGATACTGGGGAAAGATGAAAAGGAATATAACCAAAACAGGGTTGACTTTTATTTTATTCCATAGGTCACCTTTAACTGGGGCCTTCCGTATTACAAAGGATCTATGCTTTCTACATAATATTCCCTCTTCAACCCCAAACTAGTTCTTCAAGGGGAGGGACTACAGAAGTGGTTTCAAACATGGATAAAATCTGAGGTAAATGAGTATACACTGAGTGGTCAGATTATTATGATCTCTGAATGCATAATAATCTGACTAGTCAGTATATATACCGGCCTGGGCCACTCCTTAACTTCTCCCCTGCTGACATGGCTGCCCCCTAACTGCCAGTAGTCAGACATCCCTCTAATACACATATTAGAGGCCCAATGCATGAATTTGTGCATGGGTGGGGTCCGGTCAGCCTGGCCAGGGAGAAGGGACATAGATGGTTGGCCGGCCTGCCTGCTGGTCAAACTGCTGGTTGAAAGGACAATATGTATATTAGCCTTTTATTATATAGGCTAATATATAATAAATTAGTGTTCAGAGATCATAATAATCTGGCCACTCAGTGTGTATTCCTTTTTAAATTTTGCTTCTGGGGCTCCACACCATAATTGCTAAAACAAAATCTCTGAAGATGGAGTCAAACACCATGATGAATCAGTGATTCTTTCAATATATCATGAATTCATGAATTGGGATTTTATTGAAAGTTTCTCCACCTGGCCAGTGTTGCTCAGTGATTAGTGTTGACCTAAGAAACAGGAGGTCACAGTTCAATTCCCAGTCAGGGCACATAGACAGATTGTGGATTGATCCCCAGTGGGGGTCGTACAGGAGGCAGCTGATCAATGATCACTCTCATCATTGATGCTTCTTGCTCTCTCTTTCCATATCACTTCCTCTCTCTGAAATCACTAAAAAAAAAAAATCTCCTCCCCCAAAAAATCTTCATCTCATAAACTGTCTCATTCATTTACAATCAAATATTCTTTTTATATTTATAAAATATTTTTAAATTATGAATTAATCAACTATATACTAATAATTATAATGATAAAATAATTAACACTAGAACCTTAGTCAATGAAAATGTTAAGCATTAAATAATCAATTTACACACATTCTTGTTTCAGAAATATGTTTAGTTAGCAACAAACAAAATAATTAGTTCAAATATAAAAATATATTGAATTTTGATGAAATTTTGCAGCTTAATCAGAATTGAAATACAAGTTAAAGCAGAAAAGAATTGTGTATAATTTTCAACTGCTAATGAAAGCTTATATGTATATTTATAATATATGAGATTGGTATCCAGAAACTATGATATGTTTAAAATAGTTACATTAATATTAAAATGCCAACATCTGCAATATGTTAGAAATACAGCCTTAGCAACTACTTAACCTTACAATGAAACTATTTCAATGCCAACTTTAAAATGTATGAATAGGTATATAGTTTTCAAAATGCTTTTAGATTAGAAAAAAAATAGGTTGTCTATTCTATGCCCTAAAGTGAAGTCCTTCCTTCAGTAGCAATCTCTTCCAATCATCAATAGTCTTATAATTCTTTACAATTATAGCTCCCAAGAAAAATAATTTTGCTTAGAAATATTCCTGACTTAGAGATTGCAAATAAACAACTAAGAACTTCAAATAATGTATTCATTCTGGTAAAAAGGTACAAAAATTGATTTTTAAGCACATGCATTGTTAGAATATTTGTAGAGCTCCCTTATTTGCCAACATGATCTTGAAGAACTTTCCCATGATCACCTGATATATGCTGTGGGCATGAACACTCATTTTAATATGGGTCTATGTAAATTTAAAATAGGTAGAAGAGTCTGATTCATAAATAATTTATACACTATTTCTAAGCCAAATTTTAATTATTTGACATTATGCTTTAGTGAGGTGTTCCCTGCCTTGCTTCCTCTTTTGATAGTGATAATTGAGTGTTTAAGTAGCTTTCTAATTTGTAAACCCATTACTAAGTCATCTTAAAAACTCCATGTAATGACTTGGAAATATTTTAATTTGATCATTAGCCACATGTCACATTTGCTGAGTAATTGCTCTTACCCTCTATTACATTTTGCTATTTCATCAAACAGAAGTTTCCACTGAGGACGTCCAATATAAAGTCTTGAATTCAGTGCTTGATATTTTTCTCCAATTATTTTCTGCCACAAAAAAAGCATTACATTTTATATGACACAGAGTTGGCAAATTGCCCATTTCTCTAACCTCATTTCTGCCGGTGCTGTGGCTTCTTACCAAATTGCTGTGATATAAAGAATATAAGTACCAAATGGCAACCTATGGAGTACAGTAAGTTAGAACGTAATTTCCTTCCTGTTTGCCTTTAAAATCCATTCTCTTCTTGAATGCCATTATTACAAATGGCTGAATTGCTTCTTTTTTAAATAACTGCAATGTTGAAGAATGCATTCCAATTGCCTACTTTCATAAAGGGCCTCAGCACATAAATTCTATTGAATTGTTTTTGCACTACAAATACAGTTGTCATATTTGGCACATTAGATGGATAAAATGCTACAAACTGTAATCATAAATTTGGGAAAATAATTTTAGACAAGACAACCTAAGACAGAAGAGCTCCAAATCTCAGGTCTATTAACAACAAATAACTCAAGTGAACTGTTTTTTGCAATGAACAGAATATGAGATCTGAAGAATCAGAGTCAAGTGAGAAGGGAGGAACAAGTGTCTGAGACCCAGGCAGACAAACTGAGAACTAATGCAATGTATACTCTGTACCTTCATTAAAGCAACACCATGAAGATAATGGTACCGACTTGCTTCACGAGAGTAGTAAAATAAAATATTTTAACATACCAAGTAGGGAAGAACTCTGACTAGAAAATATAGGGTTAGATTAGTTTTGAAATAACTGACAAGCATTCATAATTTGTATTCAAAATACTACAGAAAATGTGATATGATAGAAAATATTAAACTAAAGTGTGTGAAAGCAGTCATGCCCAGATTTACACAATGGTGCAGCTCTTCATGGTGTCTGTAAACATTAATTTCTTCATCTATAATATAGGATAGCAATATCTACTACCTCTTGAATCTGCTTGAATTCTACCTCTTGAATTCTGTGATTGTGTATATGATTGTCTAGCACAGTGCCTCACACAGTGAATAAATAATGTGATAGCTATTGCTATTCTTTTTTCATTTCCCTTGAAGGGAAATAAAACTTTTTCATGTATAACCTTATTTCCCCCCCATAAAACCTCTTCATGATGAATAGAGTCACAAGACTGTTTGGCGATGGTCTGGCCTCTATAGGTAAAGAACTTGAGGCAACAGTGAAGAGGAAAGAGGTGAAATACTTGAAAGGTCTGCTCTATCTCCCTGTGAGATGAACAAAAAATTCCCCCCAAAACAAACAAAACAAAAATAGCATAATATAGGGTATCTCCCCCCCCCTCAAAAAAAAGCTGGTAGCTAGTAGCTCAATTTTGAGAATGATATGTATTTTAGTAAATGCTGCCTTTACAATTATTCCCCAAATTTTGGGGGACATTTTATATGGTTAACTTTATGGACAAGCCATGAGATTTTTGGACACATTCCAAGAGACCTTCCTGTGGGAAACCTCTTCAAGCCACCTGCAGAAATGCTCCCCCTGCATAGCCCTGCAGTAAACCTCCTAATACCAAGAGACTCATTTCATTTACAGTAACATCCAGCTACATACCTGCATCCCATCTGTTTGACTGAGGTGCAGCTGGATGTTGACATAGTCAGGTCTGTTCTCTTGCCAAAGCTGAGAGGACATAAAAGTAAGAAGACATTCAAATTATTTCTGTAGACTCAGACTTCCTCCTATTCTAACACATGGGATTCCAGAATTTGTTAAAATGTATCTTGTCTAATCACAGTCGATATCTACAAGCAAATACATATAAAATTGCATCCATATACAGGGATGGGCAAAAGTAGGTTGATAGTTGTCCCTACGGAAAAAGAAATGAAGGTTTTGATTACTACAATAGCTTTATTAACTTGTATTTTACATACTCACAACTGTAGACCCACTTTTGCCCACCCTTGTGTAGTGTGAAAGTAAAACAAACTTACATATTGGGACTCAAAGTAGATGTTTTAGGAATGCAAAATAAGTCATTTTGCTGTTAGGGAGTGATTATATAGGGCTTCATCACCCCTCTGGAACCCTTTACAATATTAAGGGCATGTGGGAAGTAACTGAGAGACTTCTATTGCCATGACTACCTGGTCCAGAGCTTTCTAGCAAGTTACTTAACTTTTCTAGGTTTCAGAGCTTCATCATCAGGACAATGATATGGTTGAAGGACATTATTTTACAAGCAGCAACATTGAATTATAAAATCCTAATAAAAACATATTTTACCTTAAAAGTGATGTTTATCAGCACCCATAATATTTTTTTCTTTGCATTTATTTATTTATAAATATATTTTTATTGATTTCAGAGAGGAAGGGAAAGGAGAGAAAGATAGAAACATCAGTGATGATAGAGAATCATTGATTGGCTGCCTCCTAATATTTGACAAAGGAGACAAAAACATACAATGGAGTCAAGATAGTCCCTTCAATAAATGGTGTTGGGAAAATTGGACAGATACGTGCAAAAAAATGAAACTAGACCACCATAATACTTTAAAAATGTAGTCATAGTAATATCCCATCCAATAGCTGACTCAAATTATATCTAAATGCTAACTTCATTTGAAGGCCCTTTCTGAATTGAGTCAGGATTCATGGATTTTAACTGAGAAGATACTGAGTGTTTTCCAAGTCCAGTAATGGTAGCATCTCACAAAACATAATTTTTTGTGCTAATTGTTATCTTAAATGCCTACCAGGATGCATACCATCCAATATATCTTAAAAGTATTTGGATTAAAAATTTAACTCAGAAAGTGTGGGTTAGAATAAAATATGATTTTTTTTTTTTACTTTTCAATTATAGTTGGCATTGAATATTATTTTATATTAGTTTCAGGCGGTTAAATACTAATTTAAAAATGATATATGCATCCCCATGTTCATATCAGCATTATTTACAATAGCCAAGATATAGAAACAGCCTAAGTGCCCATTAATAGAGAACTGGATAAAGAAAATGTGGTATATATAGGCAATGAAATATTACTCAGCCATAAAAAGAATGAAAGCTTACCATTTTTGACAACATATACAGACATAGAGGATATTATTGTAAGTGAAATAAGTCAGAGAAAGATAAATACCATTCCATTTCACTTATATGTAGAATCTAAAGAACAAAAATGAACAAACAAAACTAAACAGATGCATAGGTACAGGGAAGAAACTGATGGCTGCCAGAGGAAAGGGAGATGGTGGAAAAATTGAAGGGATTAAGAGGTACAGATTAGTCCTGGCTGATTTGGCTCAGTGGATAAAGTGTCGGCCTGCAGACTGAAGTGTCCCAGGCTTGATTACTATCAAGGGCATGTAGGGAGTGTACAGGAGGCAGCTGATCTGTTTCTTTCTCATCGATGTTTCTAACTCTTGATCACTCTCCCTTCCTCTTTTAGAGAGAAGGGAGAGGGATCTTATTTTATTTAAATGAATAAAATACATTAAAAAAAAGAAAGAAAATTTTGAAAAAAAGAAGTACAAATTAGCCTGGCCAGTGTTGTTCAGTGGTTGAGCATTGACCCATGAACCAGGAGGTCATGGTTTGATTCCCAGTTAGGCCACATGCCTGGGTTATGGGCTTGATTCCCAGTAGGGGATGTGCAAGAGGCAGCCAATCATTGGTTTTCTCTCATTAATGTTTCTATCTTTCTGTCCCTCTTCCTTCCTCTCTCAAATCAAGAAAACCATTTTTTAAAATGAAGTAGAAATTGGTAATAACAAAATAGTCATGGGATATAAAGTGTAACATAGGGAATGTAGTCAATAATATTGTAATATTTACATATGGTGCCAGAAGACTGTATAGTCTCATTTGGTTTTCAAAAATACTTTTAACTACTATCACTGAAACTGTATGTAAAGTCACTATATATTATTGCTATTGGTGTCTCTCTCTCTATCTCTCTTTTTCTCTCTCTTTCTCAGATATGCACACACACACATGCATGAAATTGTTACCAGCTGCAAAGAGAAAATAAAAGCCTTTTCTTTTTAACATCATCTAAATATAAATTGTTTTAGTGTCTTCTGGGGGAATTTTGCCAGTATAACGTAAAAATTTAAATTCATTCACAGCCTCCAACTCCAGAAAGTCCTGTCTCTGGCATCAACCTAGAAAAAATACTCACAAATTGGAAAGTGATGAGTTTGCTCCTCTCGACAATTGTTCCCTCCTTAGCCTCAAAGACAGAATTCACTTTCTCTCTTGCTACCACCTCACTGGCCACTGGGACCAGTCTCCTTTGTTAGCCATTACACACCTTTTGCTTCTCTGGAAACTGCAGTATCCCAGGGAATGCTATTTTCACACACATTGCCAAGGTGATCGCAGTCAGATAAATCTCCTTCATAACCTTGCAATGGCTATTCATCTCTCCTTTCCCCAATCCTGATTCAGCAGGATTTGTGCCCCCAAAATGTGTTCTTTTTTTAAAGTTGTGGTAAAACATTATAAACTTACCACTGTAACCATTTTTAAGTATGTAGTTCAGTGGCATTAAATACATCCATATTGATGGGCAACCATCACTACCATCCATATCCAGAACTTTTCTTCTCAAACTAAAACTCTGTATCCATTAACCAATAAATCCCCATTTGTCCTCCCTCTCATGCCCTGGTGACCAGCATTCTATTGTAGAAAATTGACTACTCTAGGTACATCATATAAGTGGAATCAGATAATATTTGTCCTTTTGTGTCTAGATTAACTAAATTAGCATAATGCTTTCAAGATTCATACATATTGTAAAATGTCTTGGAATTCTATTCTTTTTAGGCTGAATACTATTCCATTTTATGTATATGCAGAGTTTGTTTTATCCATTCATCCATCAATAGACATTTGAGTTGTTTCCATCTTTGGAAATTGTGAAAAATGCTGCAATGACCATTGGTATACAAATATTTGTTCAAGTCACTGATTTCAATTATTATGGGTATATTTCCAGAACGAATCTCTTTTTTTTTTTTTTACATAAAATCCAAAGGCCTTATGTAATCTGTCCTTTTCCCAGAAAACACACAAGACCTCTCTGATTGCTGTCCCTACTAATTTTCCTCTTGCTTACTCTGCTCTGGCCACAAAGCTCACTTTCATCTTGCTCCAGTCTAATCCTATTGCATCAGAGTGCTTGCCTGTGAAGTTGGGTCTCTCGGCCCTAAAATTTTTCACCCAAGATATCTGTCTGTTCATTCACTTTACTCAGGTCTCTGCTCAAATACCAATGTTGATGGGCATTTCCAAATACTCAGTGTACATTAATATGCCCTCTATTGTTTACTCTTTGTTGCTTTACCCCACTTTCTTTTTTTCTTTTCCCTAATCAGAATCAGCCATCCCATTTCTTTATTGGTTTATCATCTTTTCTCCCCACTTAGAATGAAAATCATGTGAGATCAGAAACTTGTTTTTATTTTGATCTCAGATGTAGTTCCATGTCCCAGAACAGTTTCTACTTCATAGTAGGCAGTTAGTATTTGATGAGTGACAGAATGACTTATTGAGTGGGTGAATATCTGCACAAAATGGCTTGTATAGTATTTATCATCATGTTTTTTATAATAAAATTATAAATACTCATTATGAGGGAATGTTTAAATAAATTAGTATTTCATTCATACTATGAAATACTCCATAGCAGTAAAAAGAATGAGATAACTCTATATTATTAAAAATGTCCAAGACATAGTCATAAGTTTAAGAAAGCAACTTCCAGAGCAATACAAAGTAAGCTAAAATTTATAAAATAGGACTTCCCTCTTGTTACTTTCTTTTGGATAGAGAAAGTAGTAAGGAAAGATTTTGCTTTATCTGAACTATTTGGAAAAACTGCACCAAAGATGCAAAAAAGTGTGTATTACTTGTACAGCTTGTAAAAATAAAGATAGCTATATTAATTGATAAATAAAAGGTCAGATGTAGGAGAGATGAAGAATGCCTGCTTTCATACTTATAAAAACTAAAACTTAGCAGGAACCGGTTTGGCTCAGTGGTAGAGCGTCAGTCAGACTGAAAGGTCCCAGGTTCGATTCTGGTCAAGGGCATGTACATTGGTTGCGGGCACATCCCCAGTAGGGGGTGTGCAAGAGGCAGCTGGTCGATGTTTCTCTCTCATCAATGTTTCTAGCTCTCTATCCCTCTCTCCTCCTCTCTGTAAAAAATCAATAAAATATATTTTAAAAAAAAAAGAACTAAAACTTAGAATTTGGGATTTTGGAAATTCTGCATAATGTGCCAAAAGTCTGGTGATAGTCCATTTAGAATAATGAAGGTGAAGATACAAGTTAAGAGCTACTAGAACAAAAGATGGGAAATGTACTAGCAATGGCCTGCTGATGTTTTCCTCTATTTGCCTTCCCTCACCACCCCTTATGCCTGCATTTTCATACATCACACACACACATATTACCACATTAATAGTGCATGCATGCATTTCTATGTTAAAATATTTCATGTTAGAACTTATCAATAATCATTTCTAGGTTCAAACATATCATAGATACATACACATAATCATAGATATCAGCATCTAAAATTATGTGTGTCAAGTAACAAATGTTATCTCTGTGTTTTTTTTTAATTGAAATGATTTTTCTTTCTTACTACTTATTTGCATATTTATTTTAATTTTTCCATACCAATCATTTAGTATGTTAGCAATCTGAAACATAATAACTTTGTTTTTAAATGTAAACATTGCAAAATTGGAAACAAACCTAATTTTACCTTATTATGCAACACACAGAGTAAGTCTGCAAACCAACGGAAGGACTGGATGTCTCTGCACACCCAAATAAAATACAGTCTTCTAAGCTTGTAAGGTTTCCAGTCATCCCTTTAAGACAAAATAACACAATAATGATTAGGATGGCAAAAAGTTAAGGATCCCTGCATCTTGGAAGTTTTTATTTTCACTAGTCAGTAACCAACAGAAAAAAACAGCCATTTACACTCAAGCATCAGACATAGCACTTACTGTAACTCTCAAAGGAATACAAAATGAACATTCTGAGTCAGGATATGCCCCATAAATTCAGTGTCCATATTTGTGAATATTATATGCATATCACCCATTTTCAGTTGAAGGTAATAAACTAAACTCTTGGATCACAATACTCTTAGCCCTATATCTCAGTGGGGGAAAAAAAGTTCTTATTTTTGGTGAATTCTATCACAGGGCAGGGCTCCAGTCTAGTCCTCATCATTCTTGTCCTGGCTTCCAGGCAAAGGGAGCCAACACCATTCCAGAAACTGGTTGTTTATCCCCTTCTTAATATCATTAAAGAAGGAGATTTCATAACTACCTACTATGTAATGCATTCCAGTAACTCATGATTCCAAGTCTGGATTTCTATTTATAATTAGGAAGTAGGCTTGAAGTTAAGAAAATATTCTTTTCTTTTCTTAACTTTAGGTGTCCAAGTAACTTGCAATATGTTTATACAGAAACAAGTGATTTCTGGCATGCAATATGATTATTTTTCTAACAACCTCCAAAAAGTCCAAAATTTCTATCAAGAATTTAAAATTGAAATAAAGCATCATTCAAACATATCCTTTCAACTTACTGGTTCTTTTTTGGTACTCCATAAAACAGATTTTTAATGCAAATTGTGTATTGTAAGTGAATATATGTAATAAATTTGAGAATACTTTTCTACTGTCATTTTGTTTGTGTGTTCATGAGAATTACTGTTAATCAATTATTTTTTTCTTATAATCCTAGGACAAAAATAACTGTAAAAGTCTTTCCTGGTTAAGCAGTCTTACCTCTGAAATTTTCTAGTCTTCTGTCTACTTTATTTGTTTATTTAATTTTGTTAATCTTCACCCAAGGTCTTCACCCAAGGATATTGATTTTTTTTAGAGAGAGTGGAAGGGAGAAGGAGAAACACAGAGAGAGAAACATGGTCTTGAGAGAGACATATCAATTGGTTGCTTCCTGCACATGCCCCAACTGGAGCTAGGGATCAAGCCTGCAATCAAAGTATGAGTTCTTGACTGGAATCAAACACAGAACCCTTCAGTCCTTGAGCTGATGCTCTATCCATTGAGCCAAACTGGCTAGTGTTCTTCTGCCTGTTTTAAATTTACTGAGTAATAGACCAAGGAATGATGGGCTCATTCTGTCATCTCAGAAAATCTTTCCCTGACCATATTTACGATAGCTTTGGTCCTTATTTCTATATCTCACAAATGTTTCTTCTCATCATAGTTCTAATATTTTCTTAAGTAATGTTATTTATGAATTTCTCACTGGTTTATTTTTATCTCCCCCATTTGAACTAAGCCTTCTAAGGGAAGGGGCTTAATTTCATTCACTGATGTATTTATTTCCTGTACCTACCTATAAGATAGATTGGCATATAAGTGCTCAAAAATATTTGTTGACAGATGGGTAAGTAGTGCACTTAACACTGATGAGACAGTAGAGAAATGAAGGCTGGTGGAGTAATTTTAATAAGGATAAAGACAGAGGAGTGCAGAGCTGTAGTACTGACATATTTCACAAGATATCAGGCTGAAAGCCAACGACCACATACTGAGAATCACTAAATTATTCCTTTCATCAATCAGTAAATGAAGTTCCTTCAATAGCAAATACAAGGATTCTTTAAGGAGTTACTTCAAACTAAAAGAGAGATGTTTAAAATATTGACAGTTCTTTATTTAGATGAATAAAATAGAGCAAAACGACATACAGCAAGGTGTTGAGTATTGACGCAAATGGAGTTACTCCAATGCCTCCAGCCACGCAGAGGCTAACCTCATAGTTCAATGATTCTTCAAATGGACTTCCAAACGGACCATCAATATATAGCCTATGGAGAGGAAGACAAAGGTGGAAAAGATGAAAATAAGTTAATTTTTTATTATACGTAGTACACATGCTGAATCCAGTTACTAGGCTTTGTGATGGTTCAGGTCTTACTGTATTGTATCTCATAGTGACAAACCTAAAAACAAGAAATGTTGTTTATGAACTGTCGATATTAAAACAGTACCTCTGTTTCTAAGCATGCCTCTTTTGAGGGAAATATTAATTAATCATATTAGAAAATATATATTGGACCTTGATAGCTATTATAACAAGTTAAAGCTCGGATACTATTATATTACTATATTTGACTAAATTAAGATACCAATTGCTTTATGGTGTCCGTATTCAATAAATAATGTTCTCTTTAATGACAAAGTCAGTAGCAGAAGTAGTTACCAAAAACATTTACTACTTGAACAGAAAAGTACTAGGAAGAAAGAAAAGAAACTAATCCAGTTCTTCCTGTTGCCCCAGTTAGGTTGTATTAGTATAGAAACAGATGAAGAATAATCTCAAAGGAATCTTGAATAACTCTATTTGTCATTAAATATTTAACTGTGTGTGAGAGAGTGAATCTTTCTTAACTGCAAAAATATCTTCCAATTGTTTAACTCAATATTCATCCTCCCATTCTTTACTAGTAACAAAAAAAAAAAAAAATCATTTCATTCAGGGAAGCAAAGTACCCAGACAAAAACACTCCATTTCTCAAGCTCCCTTATCTATTTTGGTTGCGTGACCATGTTCTGGTTAATGTGCTGTAAATATAAGTGAAATTAGGAAAACTGGAAGGCTCTTTGGAAGAAGCTCTCAGTTGAAAGTTGCACCTCTCTCTCTCTCTCTCTCTCTCTCTCTCCTTTTTGTTTGTTAATATTTTCTCCATTGATTTTTAGAAGGTGGGGGGGGGGGGGTAGAGACAGAATAATTGACAGGATAGAGCCTGCAACGGAGTTATATGCCCTTAACCAGAATCAAACCCGATTTGATTCACTGGTGTATCATCAGTCCATGGGCTGATGCTTTATCCACTGAGCCAAACTGGCTGGGGTCAAAGTTACATCTCTTTATCACTCCCCCTTTCTTTCCTTTTTCCTGGTGTTTAAAATTTTGACTTGATGGTCTAAATATTTATCTTTTATGATTATAGAATTATCAAATCCTCTATAGCTACCTAGTTCCAGATACCTTTATGTTAAAGAAAAATAAACACGTATATAGGGCACTTCCATTTTAAAGCTTTTTTTTTTTTCTATTGTAAAAAATAACTTTGCTAAAAAATAATAACAGTCCTAAAACGCACATATATGTTGACAGTCTTATGATATACATGTCTCTCATTGCTATGAGTGATTGCAAGAGATCATTTAAGATTAGGCATTTATGGGTTTACCAGAGAAGTTTTTAGTAAATGTTTAATAAATGAATTTATGAATGGGTAGTCTTGTGACCTCTGAGGTCTATGCCATGTAATCCATGTTATATACTACTAGTCATTGCCACGACCTGATTTCCTTTCCTTCTGGGCACTCAGTAGACTATCCTTCCTGTGCTTTTTGTAGTTATAGTGAACCTTATGTCTACTTCTGACCACTGGGCTATAAGTGGAACCAATATCCATTCCTCCTGGAATGAGACATGGAAAACTGTCCCTCTCATGGGAACTAATGTGTTGACCAGAACACAAAGCCAAATAAACCCTTGAAGAAAGCTATCCTAGAAGGTGACTTGACTCTCAGAAGACACTTTATGAGCAAGAAATAAATGAGTTTCACCACATTTTCAGGGATTTTTCAAGGTTAACTATTGTAGTTATTGCAGCAGAAAGTAGACCCTCTTGACTATTACTAATAAATGTTCAGTGCATACTTAAATCCTGCAAACATGCAAGAGTACTGCTTTAAAAAATACTTCATTTAAAAAACTTCTTATTGTATCTCAAGAAAAAATTACTCAAAGTTTAAATGCTTAACGTAATGTTCCCAACATAGCAAAAATTATCAAAATGCTGATAGATCATATACTCACCATATGCTTAATTCTTATTATATCTGTTTCTCACTTTAAAGCTTATTTACTCAACAAACAAACATATATTTAAAAGTTAATGATACAACATATTAGATTCTTAATAGAAATCTCAACATATCAGTAGCTTAAAAGCAACATATGTAAATTGATTCTACCACTTTCCATCATGTGAGCAAATTTAGAACATTAAACATTAAGCAACACAATTGGGATTAAAACTAAGTACTTCTAATTGCCAAAATAAGATTATTATAAATCTCTACAACTATTTTGAATCCACTAGACTTAGTGCAATCTTCTCTTAATTAAGCATTCATTATTTCATTCAAAAAATGTTTTGTTTTGTTTTTCCACTTGCAATGTACCTAATACTATTCAAAGTGTCTGGGATATGGAAGTGAAAAAGGTAAGACAAGCCCCTGACCTTATGGACCTTTGACTCTAGTGGGAAAGGGGCTAGCTCATAAATAAAGATATCGTACCTAATAAAATAATATGCAAATTAACCATCACTCTGCACACCCACTAGCCACACCCACCAGCTTGGTTCTGTTCCAGGCTAAAAGTGTCAATTGTAGAAAGTAAATAAATTCCAGATACCAGGGCCTCTGCTTGGGTCACCAAGGGGTATGGTTAGCCTACAAACCACCACAGGCCCCTCGCCCGGGCCACCCCACACCCCAAAGAAACCCCCACCCTAATCCGGGACACCCTTCAAGGCAAAACAGCTGGTCCGCACCTGTGCACCAGGCCTCTATACATTCTAATAAAAGAGTAATATGCAGATTGACCATCACTCCAACACAATAACTGCCCCCATATGGTCAAAGATCCTGCCCCTATGTGGACACAAGATGGCCACCATAAGATGGCCAGCAGGGGAGGGCAGTTGGAAAGCACAAGGCCTGCAAGGGAGGGCAGTTGAGAGGGACCAGACCTGCAAGGAAGGGAAGTTAGAGGTGATCAACCCTGTAGGGGAGGGCAGTTAGAGGTGACCAGGCTGGCAGAGGAGAAAAGTTGGGGCAAACAGGATGGCAAGGGAGCAGTTAGACATCAATCAGGTTAAAGAGTGATCAGGTTGGCAGGCAGAAGCAGTTAGGGGCAATCAGGAAGTCAGGCAGGCGAGCAGTTGGGAGCCTGCAGTCCTGGATTGTGAGAGGGTTGTCTGACTGCCGCATTAGGTTTGACCCCATCGGGATTGGGTCTAAACAGGTAGTTGGACATCCGGCAAGGGATCCCAGATTGGAGAGGGTGCAGGCTGGGTTAAGGGACACCCACCCCCTCTGTGCACAAATTATGTGCACTGGGCCTCTAGTATGATATAATGCTACATAGTGATATATGCCTTTTAACATAGGTAAAACAATGATTATTGAAGCTAGGTCATTCTGTGCATAAAAGTTCATTATACTATTCTGTTATTTTTGTATACACTTTACATTTTGCATAGGTGTTTAAAGGGATACTCAGAGAAAATCTCTCTGTTCATGTGCCATTTGAACAGAGACCTTAATGAAGTAAAGGAGCAAGATATAAAAGTACCTGGATAAGAATCTTCCAGCAAGATTAAAAAAAAAATCTGGGAAAAGTAACAGGAATTGCAAATAAACAAAGCATTCTTAGCTTAAGTATATATGTACATGAGCTAAACCCTTCTCAGGAACTTTCAACTCAGTTTGTCTGTTCAGGCTACTGATAATTGTGTTTATGAATTTTCCTTTGTCAGGACTGATGCTATGTTTGGGCTATTTCATGCCATTCCTGCTCTTTAACAAATATTTTAGCACTTAACCTATAAAAGACACTCTTCCATTACTGAAGATTTTAGCAGTGAACAAGAGACAAAAATCCCTCTCATTGTAGAGGGCTACTCTTTGATGTGGTTATCTAACACATCTTCCATTGGCAAATATTTATCAAGTATCTTCTATATGCAAAATTCTGGAACTAGGAAGTGTAACTCCTGTCCTTTAGCAATTTTGGACATAGAGAATCCACTTCTCTATGCATGCCTGCTTTCAAAAAATCTGACACAGGACATTGTATTTGACCAGGAAAGGATAAGGATATGTTTCCCATTTGTCTGTTTTCCAGTCAACATACCTGCACATATATCCTCCTCATACCTGCCCTACAGCTACTCTTCGGTGTTTCAGAATAACTGGACAAGAGGACAAAAACTCAGTGTTCTTGTCACTTATGAAGGCTAGGTTCATCAGTATGTTAATTGCCCCATCTAAATCTCATTTCCTACATCTGTAAAAGGAGCAATTACATATGATAACACAGAAAAAGCCTGCTAATAAGTGTAGTGAGCCACATGATCAGGATAAAATTTTTTGTTGTTAAAGCATTAATGAATACCTAGGGTCCACTGTCATCTGAAAAGTCAAACATAAATACAAGAAAAGGACTAAGTTCAGTATGAGATGAAAAATGTAAATGGGGATGTGCATTAAAGAACCTAGGGAATCAGCTGTTTTTGCATAAGATTAAAAAAAATTTGATTTTTTGAGAAGAGGGATGAAAAATGAAATTACTTAATTATTGATTACTTGGCAACACCTGGGTTTTTGTTTTTTTTAAATATATTTTATTGATTTTCTACAAAGAGGAAGAGAGAGAGACAGAGAGCTAGAAACGTCGATGAGAGAGAAACATCGACCAGCTGCCCCTTGCACACCCCCCCACCGGGGACATGCCCGCAACCAAGGTACATGCCCTTGACCGGAATCGAACCCGGGACCCTTCAGTCCACAGACTGACGCTCTACCACTGAGCCAAACTGGTTTCGGCAACACCTGGGTTTTTGAGGAAGGCAGAAAGAGGAACTACTTAAATCATCTTTTACATATTTAATCTGATTAATGTGAAAAATCCATTGCTTTTAATTTATGAGCAGTGCTTTTTCTTTCTATCTTACTACCTTGTCTTTAAAAGAATGCTGTATTACTACTATCATTATATCTGTGA